TACGTGCATTCACTATTTCGCTTCTCCTCTTTATTTCAGAGAATTAATTTCGACCCACATTAGCTTTTTGCCCGCCCAAAAGCCACCGGAGTCTCTGCCGGAATCTTTTGATTGGCGTGAGAAGGGAGGCGTTACTCCGCCCGGCTCACAGGGGCCATGCGGTTCGTGCTGGGCATTTGCGACGATAAGTGCACTCGAGGGTCACTTGTTCCGGCGAACGGGTGTGCTCGTGCCGCTGTCGCAGCAGAATCTGGTGGATTGCGCCGACGCCTACGGTACCGAAGGCTGCGACGGCGGCTTCCAGGAGTATGGCTTCGAGTATATACGAGATCACGGAGTTACGCTGGCCAATAAGTATCCGTACGAGCAGTCCGAAAATATGGTTTGCCGGCAAAATCAGACGGCTGGTGCACCTCCACGTGACAGCATTGTCAAGGTGCGCGACTATGCAAGCATCCCGCCAGGCGATCAGGATTTAATGAAGCAAATTATTGCCACTCTGGGTCCACTGGCCTGTTCCATGAACGGATCTCCCGTATCCTTCCAGCAATACAAGTCCGGCATTTACGACGACCCGGAGTGCAACAATGAGGAGGTCAATCACTCCGTCACTGTTGTTGGCTACGGCAGCGAAAACGGACGTGACTATTGGATTGTCAAGAACTCATATTCGCAGAACTGGGGCGAGGCTGGATTCTTYCGACTAGCGCGCACTCCCAGCAATTTCTGTGGCATTGCCAGCGAGTGCAGCTACCCCATACTGTAGATACATATGCATATACACATACATCCCAGCTCCCCCTCTCTCTCTTAGCTTCACCCCTTTTTAAGTATTTGCCTTTCATTTGTCTATTGTTTATTTTTTGTTACCATAGTTTGTAGAAAAATTATATGAATGATAATAAAAGATAATGACAAATTTGAACACCTCTTTTCGTTAAGTTAATTAAACATATTTATGTAGTYATAGAAATGGAAAGGTATGGTTAGCTCATCTGACATAAACCGTCGACCTTGATCTTGAGATAGTAGTGAAATAATGAGATAATAATTTATGGAGAAAGATAAACTTGAAACTTAAATTAGTAAATTCTCATAAAAAGAACTGATAATTTGTCCGACTAACTTAAATTTTATGCACTGTCAACTGGGGCCTTTGGCTTAACAATAATATATTTTCAATGAGAACACGAGCAGCCGGCTGGGAGATCCGGCTCTTGCAATCAACGCTAAATTTCTTGACCCAGTAAAATCATAGTTTTAAGGGATCTAAATTTAAGAGTTGGTTGCGGACCCAATAAATTCATAGTGTTAGATGTTCGCAGATATCTTAATTGGCTACACGTCACAAAGCAGGACAAACATATTCATTCTATATGCAGCCTTGCCAAACAAGGGCGATGAAATAAAATTGCTATGACGTGTTGCATAGTCTGACGTTATTCGCATGTCATTATGTGTGGCATGGCATATCATTGGCCATGCTGGCCATGCTTTGAGATTGTCGAAACTCCGTTTTCAAATCGGTTCAATTCGGCTCAATAGGTTCGAATGTGGGCGTAGTTTGCGATATTTCCTTCAAATTAATATTCGTCAAGATTTACTGCTGGAATGCTCAATTCAATTCAAAATTGTATAATGATGCTTCTCAACAGACGTCATCATGATGGCCAAATTTACAAACAACAAGTTTGCTAAACTCTTTAATATTATTCCAACACGCTCCACAGATAGTAAATTATTTTTGAATAAATGGCAAATCGGATTAAACGTTCCGAATGGCATTGATGACTTATATAGAAGCTGAAATGTAGTTATCAAAAATTGAAACAGACTCTCCACCAATAACGCGATATAAAATTAGCAGAGAAACCGTTATCGGAACGAAATAGACGTTGATTGAGTTAGGATAGTGACCCCAGCTGATAAATAATTCAGCTCCCATTATAGTGAATCCGAATTACTTAAACTTATGTTAATTGGTTTTTAAAAATATGTGTCATAATTTATTGAATGGTTTCATCTTGCCTTCCATTGGTTTTAGTTGGGATTGGTTTTATTACATTATTGTTCGCTGATTTTCAAACAAGTACATTTATAATTTTGCCTCGTTTTGTACCGATTACACATAATATGGCATTATTTATAGTATTTTCTCTCAACCTGTGTCTGAATGCATAAATTTGTTTTAATTATTTAACGTTCACGATTTCTACATGATTAATTTATATAAATTTTTACTGCGAATTAGTGTCTTGGTTTTTTTCCTTTTTTGGCTGTTAATAGAGTTTTACATGAACTGATTTTGGTTATTTTCCTTTCTTGTTTATATTTTATATTAGTTTTGCTTTAGCCTTTTGCACATACAACATACATATACATACAGCTGGCTTACACAAGTTACATATACAATACATAAATATATAATATATATATTTCGTTTTGTTTAACAAATTCTCTCATAGTGTATCATAATTAGATGCTGCTCTAAACAAACATTTACGTTTA